AGAATAGAATAGAATAGAATAGAATAGAATAGAATAGAATAGAATAGAATAGAATAGGGAGAGATGTCAAGTTCTGCATCTGAGTAGGAAAAAGTCACAAATCTAAGATGGGGGAGACCTGGCTTGGCAATAGTGCATGTGAAAGGAGTCTGGATGTCCTAGTCAACCACAAATTAAACACGATCCAGCAGTGTGATGCAGCTGCTCAAAAAGCAAATGCTATCTTGGGGTACACTAACAGGAGTACAGCATCCAGGTCACAGAAAGGAACTGTACTCTACTCTGCCTTAGTCAGACCCCGCTTGGTCCTGAGTCCAATTTCGGGTGCCACTATTTCAAAAGGCCAGTGACCAATTGGAGCAAGTTCAGAGGGACTACTAAGATGCATGTGCGTCAGCTTTCCCAGGTGGACCAGACAGGAAACACAACCAGATGAGCTAACTCTTCTTTATTGTGAGGCTACATTAACAGAATCTTGCAAGTCTAAAAGTATAAATCTCCCACTGTTTCCTTTACAGCCTGAGAAGTTAGGGAGGGTCCCTTCTGAGTCTCTTGCTTTCCCCATTATGCAGCTGTGGGCTATGCCCTCTCTTATCTGACTGTTCTCTAGGCAGCATCTCTTCACCCCGTCTCTCAAGGTCTTTCTCACATACTGTTATAATGTGAGAGTGATTTAAAATTACTCCAAGGGATACAGGTTGTCCAGGCCTACTCTAACCACTATCTACACAATCTCCCTCACTCTGTCATCCCCTACACACCCCAACCATCCATCCATCCATCTGCTGGGAGTTGAAAATGTCTTGATGGCACATAATTAATTAATCACAGACCTTAAGATTCAGTTCTTCTCCCCCTGCACCATTAATCCAAGTGACCAAGGAAATAAAGAAGATTGATGTAATACTGCAAGCAGGAAAACATTTTCCAGTGTTGTCAAGCTACAGTACAGAGCCGTCCACAATCCTGAAGTTCTAACACGTAGTTCATTCAATCCAGATCCTAACTACTCATCAGGATTTGGGAGGCTTGAAGGGCTGCAAACAAATCATTTGATTAAAATCTAATGCAACCCAAACTCCCTTCTGAAGAGCAAATCCACTTTCACTGAACCAGAAGTAGAGAAAAAAAAATCAAGCTGCTTCCCTGGAGGAACAAGGCATCTGCACACATTTCCTGCAACAGCGTCTAAGGTGAAGTGGTAAGTGTCAGCTGTCCTTACAAGTCCCCCTGGTGATAGCTTCACTTTTCAAGCCTTCAACATATTTTGACAGTAAAGTAAAAACTTAAAGGTCAGTGCTACTTGCTAAGGACAAGCTAAACACAGGAAAATCATTTTGGAGCGGGACTTTCCTCCCTCTTGAATCAGAGAAGTAATCTCCCCAAGGTAAAAGGAGAAGTTTGTTCCTGCCCTAATATTTTATCTAAAGGTGTCTCTATTTAGGAGAAAGGTTTTTACAAATTGGGGCAAAGGTTAGGAGATTAGATTCTTCAGTTAAAAGAATCTGAACTTAAGAGTAATAGGTGATATTCCTTCTCGCAAAGGTAGCCTACTTAGCTGTGTAAAACTACAGACAGCATCCAGCACCCGTGGCTGGCAATGTCCTTTAGAGGTCTATGCATGATTCCAATTCTACAAAATCAACAAGGATGGAGTGGTTTAGGGCATAAAGAATATTTTAAGGACATCTTGCAACTCCATACCACTGGTAGGTAACATGCAGTTCAAGGGCCACCTACGCCCCCCCCCCATCCAAACCACCTTACCATGGTTCCGATAGAAGAGATGTAGCTCAGGGTTGAACTGTGGAGTTCTTGGAGCTCTCTGAGCTTGGTTGTTTGCTTGCAGACGCTTAATTACCCGACTAGGGAACATCATCAGGATGCGGGAGTGTGGGGTTTCCTGCCTGTTTATATGAGGTAGCTTGCCCTGCCAGTTTTAGTGGGGGTGAGGTTTCCTCCTTTGGGTGGAAACTACACTCTCACCAAAACTGGCAGGGCAAGCTACTACTTATAAACAGGCCCCATACTCCCTCATCCAGATGATGTTACCTAGTTGGGTAATGAAACACCTGCAAGCAAACAACCAAGCCCCGAGAGCACCAAGAACTCCACACCTTATCACTGTGGCAGCAAGTTTCAGTGGCCTGCCTGCAGTTAAAGACATTAAAAAAATAATAATTATTATTGGGGGACAGGTTGCTGTACAAAATGCTTCATAAGCTTTGGATGCTTATTTTGGGAAATTAGAGCTTCCGAGCAAGGCAGAGCATGCACATGTGAGCCATTAACTGCCATTGGGACACACACACACACACATTCAAGAATTACCAGATACTGATAGAAGGGGTGCCAATTACCACAACTGCGAATAGATGCAAGCTGTCCCCTTTCACAAATGTGGCGAGAGTCCAGCCTTCTGCCTAGAAAAAGGGGGAGAGATAGGCAAGAGTAGGTCCCTATGTATAGGTGCCTCATTTGAAAGTAGATTGTTGGAATTGTGTTGTAACTTTTCCTTTCCTTCTAATAGATATCAGTAATCAGAGTTCTTGGATTCTCACTCCTCAGATTAACTGTTTCCAGCCCAGACTGCAAGGAGGGGAGTTTGACACAAGCCAGCGACTTGCTTGACAGAAAAATAAAGCCCACCCTTGTTGAAGAGTTCTGTGTCTGATTAGACCAGTGTTTCTCAACCTTGGGAGTTTTAAGATGTGTGGACTTCAGCTCCCAGAATTCCCCAGCCAGCCATGCTGGCTGGGGAATTCT